AAAAGTGTTTTCCAGAACATGGAGTCTCCGGACCACTGTTGCTATTTCATGTATTTAGTTTCCTTTCAAACTCTTAACCTATCTTCAGTCATCTTTTCCTTTATCTAAATTCTCTGAGCCACCGTGGTGTTGCAGAAAGATGCTTGCCTGTCGATCTGAACGTCATGGGTTCGAGATCAGAGCCGCGCTTTTCACAATAAGCTCCAAGGTTGACTAGCCTTGTATGGGTACCATTTACGCCTAAATATGACTGAAGGCATCTGCACTGGTCCTATACTTTACTTTTACTATATTCTCTTCATATCCCCCCCCCCCCTTTTCCAGGTAACATGATCTATGGCATTCTGTTTCAACAATTCTCAAAACTTTTATCATAAATGTCCCACTTGTACAACAAAAAATACATATGACTGAGCCACAAGCGTATCAAAAGATGAGAACACCTGCTATTGCACCAAGACAGCAAACAAAAATGTGTCATGTGACCAGAAAGAAGGAAACAAAATAGAATATATCAGCCGGGATACAGCGGCACTTAGCAACGTGTGGTAGCCCACCAGAGCTTACATAGGTCAAGACCTTTCTTCCCCTCTTGGCAGCCATCTTGTAAACACTCAGCTGGAAGTCTGGCCAATGCAGACAGGATCAATGATTCCTTTGAAACAGGCTGCACTGCCCGAGAGCTAACAGTCTGCACACAAATAAGCCAGTTCTGTAAAACCGATGCACACACGAAACTCAAGATTTAGTTCTAAGACTAAGGTCCAGAAGTTGATAGCGACCGAAAATTTCAGCTCCAATTTACAACCGGTGAGCAGAGACAAATAAGAAAACATTAATCAAAATCATTTAAGGTAAAGGAAACCACTAGAGTATAAAATATTATTCTTGCAACACAATGTATCTGAGTACAATGAATCTGAGTACAACGTAACTGTATAGAATGAACTCAATATCACATCCTAGATATACATGGTTCCGCATGTCACAGGATCAGTAGAATCAAAGAGCTGGTTTTTGTTCTTGCTCTTCCCTTTATCCTACTTCTACCCTGTCCTAGTTATGACTTAAACAAATGATTAGCTGCAGATTGCGATGACCCTACTGGTGGAAAGATTATTGGTAGAAAAGCAGGAGGCAGATAGGGATATGGATGGGTGCTGCATGGTCTCTTAATGGAATACCATCAGTAGATTTGACCAATTACTCCCCCCCTCCACCCGGAGTTTCAGGGCCCCAGTTTGAAGGAAAAGAATAGTCACACTGCCCCTCTAACAAGCATGTCGTGAAAAGTGTCTAATAAGATATTCTTCGTCTAAAGTCAAAGCTCATCCGGTAGAGAATCTGCATAAAAGACCTGTAAAACAGATGTGCACACAAAATTCAAGTTACGGAACAAGAATAAAGTCTAAAAAGGACGAACAAGCAGAATTTCCTGCCGTTGCTATTTTAACAGTACAAGTAATGAGACGCTGTATGCACATTTAGCTGAAAACCCCACACATTTGGCTCATTATTTAACTGACTGATTACATAAAATATTTAAGTACTCTTGGAAAATGCTGCTTACAATGTGTAACATGTGTAACTATTGAAACACAAGACACACATCCAGGAAACAGCTGTCAAGAAAACCCAAGCTTAAGTTCATACTCTCCATTGCACCACTAAACATTCACCAATCCCAGCTCTACTTCATCCCCGAAATGACCAAGTTGAAACAATCGGTCAAGTAATGAATGATTTTAGTTTGATCGTGTCCGAGATATTGCTATCACAACATGTGGTGGTGATAATTCACTTGTCTAGCTGGTTCTTGGGGTGAAGCTTTCTGCAGTGGCGAGAGAAGAACACCACAAGCCTTTGAGCTGATGAAAGACGTCGGAGTCAGTGGTCTGAAACAAGTTCATAAGCAAACCTGGTTAAAACAGCTGGCAACACAGACAAGGAATCAGGGAATATTGGAAATATGGTTCTAGCCTTAAATATAAAAAATAAAGAAGGGATAGTTGATATGCAACAAGGTTTTGGCATTTTCTCTAAATTTAATTTAGAAATTCATTACTATACATATATTCAACTGTAGCCCAAACTGGACAGAGAAATTAGCTCCAGATGTGCCAAAGCTAATCAAGTAATAGGGCAACTATCTTCCCCATTGACACACAAGCAAATTCCCCGGAGGACTAAAGTGAATCTTTTCAGAACTATTTTTTGGCCAACACTATGCTATCAGTGCCTAATGTGGACACTTACATCCTCTGATGAACGTACATTGTGACAACAGAGTTGAAAGGCCTCAGAAAAGCTGCAGGAGTTTCAAGGAAAGACAGTATGAAATCATGAAATCAGACAAATGCTAGAAATAAAGCCAGTCTTACAGGTAATCAAATAACACCAAATGAAGTGGTTTGGACACCTAACAAGAATTCCCTGGTACTATCTATCATAGCAAGCCACACTGAAACGTTACAACAGTTAGATCGAGCAGAAGACCTTGGAAAAGATGGAGTGATGGGATTCAGAACAGCTTTACAGAAATGAACATCAATCTTAACAGTGCTCATCAAAGAATGTTACATCTCCCCCCTGACATTTTGATGAGGTACAAGGTTAAAGAGAAGAAGAAGCCCAAATAAAAACTAATTCAGCAAAAAAAAAACATTTCTGTTGTTGCAAATATAGGTTTAGAAAACCAGGAATCAAAAAATTATACACTTGAAAAAAAAATTGGACAAGGACACAGATTCTGAATCACCATGGAGACCAGACCTCTGTACTGATCATCACTGACTATAACATTGAAGACTATCTGCAAGTGCATTCCAAAACAGATTATTCTAGGAGCAGATGTTACAGTCTAGCTGTGAGCCACAACATAACATGCCAAACACCCTTTTAGAGGAAAAACACAGAAAAAACTGAGAAGTTTAGAAAACTATATTGACATTATAGGCACGCAACAAGAGAGATATCTGACATTTATAATCTGGTGGGAAAAAAATGAAACAAAGTTCCCACTTTAACCTATGAAGATCATCTAAGACGAACATTTTTGCATTTAAAGGTAATATCAGCAGGGGACAGTAGATGTGATCAGTATCAAGAAAAAGCCCTCATTACTCCCCAAATTCTCCACCCCCCCCCCTTTTCCCCGAGGCTAGGTTGACTCCAGAGCTGTACCAGTGCAAATACTAAGAGCTGAATTTTGGTCCACAATGCTGCTTACGGCGGTGGATTAACCATCTTGTTAGCACAGAAGCCTGAGCGGTCTGAGTCTGGGATGTTGGCTTGTGTCAACATACACATCTGTGAGACCTGAAATACTCTAATTAGCTGACAACAGAGATCATTGTTGGGTACCTTGGCAGAGAAGTCTGAGAGAACACTGGTTATGATGAAGATATATATGAGAAAACATGGGTTATGATAGGGATGTGTGAGAGAACATGGGTTATGATATGGGTGTTTGAGAGAACATGGGTTATGATGAGGATTTGTGAGAGAACATGGGTTATGATGGGGATGTGTGAGAGAACATAGGTTATGATGCAGAAGTGCCAGAGAACATGGGTTATGATGAGGATGTGTGAGAGAAGACAGGTTATGATGAAGTGCCAGAGAACATGGGTTATGATGGGGATGTGTGAGAGAACATGGGTTATGATGAGGATGTGTGAGAGAACATGGGTTATGATGAAGTGCCAGAGAACATGGGTTATGATGAGGATGTGTGAGAGAAGATAGGTTATGATGAAGTGCCAGAGAACATGGGTTATGAGGAGGATGTGTGAGAGAACATGGGTTATGATGAAGTGCCAGAGAACATGGGTTATCATGAGGATGTGTGAGAGAACATGGGTTTTGATGGAGATACGATGGAACAGGCTCTATAATGGAGAAATGAGAGAGAACATGGGTTATGATGGAACAGGCTCTTTAATAGAGAAATGTGAGAGAACATGGGTTATGATGGAACAGGCTCTATAATGGAGAAATGTGAGAGAACATGGGTTATGATGGAGATATAGTGGAACAGGCTCTATAATGGAGAAATGTGAGAGAACATGGGTTATGATGGGACAGGCTCTATAATGGAGAAATGTGAGAGAACATGGGTTATCATGGAACAGGCTCTATAATGGAGAAATGTGAGAGAACATGGGTTATGATGGAACAGGCTCTATAACAGAGAAGTGTGAGAGAACATGGGTAATAAAGGAGATGTGACGGAAAATTTCTATAGTAAAGAAGTGTGAGAGAACATGAGTTATGAAGGAGATGTGACAGAACATATTTTATAGTAAAGAAGTGTGAGAGAACACGAGTTATAAAGGAGATGTAACAAAACATGTTCTATAGTAATGAAGTGTGACAGAATATGAGTTATGAAGGAGATGTGACAGAACATGTTCTATAGTGATGAAGTGTGACAGAACATGAGTTATGAAGGAGACGTGGCAGAACATGTTCTTTGTAATGAAGTGTGAGAGAACATGAGTTATGAAGGAGATGTAACAGAACATGTTCTATAGTGATGAATGTGAGAGAACATGAGTTATGATGGAATTGTTATGGAACAGGCTCTTTAACACAGAAGTGAAAGAACATGAGTTTTGAAGGAGATGTGACATAACATGTTCTATAGTAACGAAGTGTGACAGAACATGAGTTATGAAGGAGACTTGACAGAACATGTTCTATAGTAATGAAGTGTGAGAGAACATGAGTTATGAAGGAGACGTGACAGAACATGTTCTATAATAATGAAGTGTGACAGAACATGAGGTATGATGGAGATGTGATGGAACATGTTCAATAGTAAAGAAGTGTGAAAGAACACAGGTTATGACGGAATGTACCTCTGTGAACAATTTGTGCACCAGCAAAGCCAGGTAGACACTGCAAAGAAGAGTTCACATAAAACCTGGACTACAGAAACTCAACGAGCAACACAACTCACTTGGTGTCAAGGATATCCCTTGGCAGAGTTACTACCATCAAGCAGAAGTGGAATAGTTATGATCTTTCTTTGCAGAAGCACTCTGTGAAAATGAGTTCAAATTTCTGTAGGCTTCTTCCACTTGTACATCATGTGCCAGCTGAAGATTAGTGGCAGCTGCTGCAACAGTCTGTGTGCTAGCCCACTCTCGTCTCCCAACGCCACTGCTGTTTTTTCTGGACAAACCGCTGTGAAAGTAAGTGTGGTCCTCTCGCATCTTCTGTCTGGGGAAGGTTGCTGATGAGAAAACCGGTGTTCTATTAGCATCACCCTCTGTGACTAAACTAAATGCTTCTATATCAATACTCCCAGGAGAATTAAAGTCTGGAACTTTTGATTTGACATAAGTGTGATCATCTTTTTGAGCAAGACCAGGAAAGTTCGAGAGTTGCTGTTCTGAAGTTGTGCCCAGACGTGGACACTGATTCTGTAATATGCAGTCCTCAGTGTCTTCCATTTCTTGATCTTCTATTATATGTTGCTTTGCTGAGTCCCGGTGAAGCTCTTGTTCAAACAGACTGTGACTAGATGCTGTCCCATCCCAGGTGGCAGTGGCATACGTATGATCAGCTTTCCTAGGCCAGCAGGGAAACTCTAGCGTGTTGTTGATAACTCGATGCAATGTGTGAGAAACACCAGTTTTCTGTACGTGTTCTGTTGACTTTGAAGACTTCATGCACGACTGTCTGTTACCACAGTTGACCTCTTCAAACGATGACGACTTTTTGGGCGAGTGTTTGGAGACAACCTCGGGCCATTCACAAACTTTCAGATTAGCTGTGTCACCACCACACATCTTCTCCACAGATAAACACCGTTTAATCTTCAAGTTATGTGAATCCGTTTGAGCAGAAGAGGTCGTGTTATTGTGCGACAAACAACTACCCTTACTAAAGGCTTTAGTCACATCGTCTCCATTTTCCACTGGAACTTTCAGTTTCTCTTTATCTTCACATCCTGACAAATGACCCGACAAATGAGCAACCACCTTCGCTGTCTGCGACCGTGTAGTGCGAGTAAACCCATTTGAGGCATAAGTATGATCACTTCCAGTGCTGACATCCACCCCCGACGACTGAAACTGTAAATCCCCACAGATATTCTGTCGGTCTAAGGCCAGCACCATGTCCGCGAACGTCAACAACGAAGATGTAGCTGTGGGAGGGGGTTCCCCGAAGCCCACTCGTGAAGAAAAGAAACTATTGATGTCTCGAGCCCCATCTACAGACATTTTCTCAACGAAAGTACTCATACGAATGCTAAAATTTAACTACTACACACAAGCAGGTACCATTTATATATACACTGCGAGCTGGGTCCCGACAAAGGGTGGGATATTTTCTGGAATGTCATTCATCGTCCACGATGCAACCTTCCGTGTCGCTGGCCTCACCGCTTCCGTCTGCACCCGAGCGAGGCTGTGACCCCAGGACACTGATTATTTCTAGCAATTTGATTGGCTGACCTCGTTTAAAAATAGTTTTCATGTCTGCAACAAAAACACACGGCCATGTTGGAGCAACCCGGACCCTGGACCGCCCAGACTCCACCACCGGCTGCTTGTAACCCAGAACATCGCTTCAGCCAGCAAATCTACAAGGTAAAGTGGCTAGCACAAGCGTGTCAAGAGCAGATATTTCCCGACTTAAGTCCACTTATCTTGATGCTTTTTGTAAAATCTTCGATTTGCGTATCTCTGTAGAGGAGACTTGTCCCAGGAGGTCAAGTCTGCAGACACTGAGACAAACGCCGGCGTCGCGGCAGAATGTTAACTCGGTTTATTTTTCCCAGAGCAGCTAAGCTACTTTCTCTGCTGTTTTTGTATTAGCGAAATTATTTTGCAATTATTGCTGGCGAAAGAGTATGCAGGAGACACTTGACATAATAGTACTACAATTTCAAGCGAGTCAAGACACTTTGGATCGAAGGAAAAACAAAATACTCGAAGGCATCTGTCATAGTTTGACACATATGGTCAGCGAACTATTAATATTAACTGACTTTACCTTTACTATTAACTGAGAGTTGACCAAGAGCCTACCACTCCCTCTTCCGATTTACTAGAAGTGACCAAGAACTTACCACACCTCAGTATGCTAGAATTGACTAAGAGCCTACCTCACCTCCATATGCTAGAGTTGACCAAGTGCCTACCTCATCCCCCATATGCTAGAGTTGACCAAGAGCCTACCATACCTCCATGTGCTAGAAATAACCATGAGCCTACCATACCTCCATATGCTAGAACTGATCAAGAGCCTGCCACACCTCCATATGCTAGAACTGATCAAGAGCCTGCCACACCTCCATATGCTAGAACTGATCAAGAGCCTGCCACACCTCCATATGCTAGAATTGACCAAAAGCCTACCACACCTCCATATGCTAGAATTGACCAAAAGCCTACCACACCTCCATATGCTAGAGTTGACCAAAAGCCTACCACACCTCCATATGCTAGAACTGATCAAGAGCCTACCACACCTCCATATGCTAGAAGTAATTAAGAGCCTACCACACCTCCATATGCTAGAACTGATCAAGAGCCTACCACACCTCCATATGCTAGAGTTGACCAAGAGCCTAGCACACCTCCATATGCTAGAACTGACCAAGAGCCTACCACACCTCCATATGCTAGAGTTGACCAAGAGCCTAGCACACCTCCATATGCTAGAACTGATCAAGAGCCTACCACACCTCCATATGCTAGAAGTAATTAAGAGCCTACCACACCTCCATATGCTAGAACTGATCAAGAGCCTACCACACCTCCATATGCTAGAGTTGACCAAGAGCCTAGCACACCTCCATATGCTAGAACTGACCAAGAGCCTACCACACATCCTTATGCTAGAACTGACCAAGAGCCTACCACACATCCTTATGCTAGAACTGACCAAGAGCCTACCACACCTCCATATGCTAGAACTGACCAAGAGCCTACCACACCTCCATATGCTAGAACTGACCAAGAGCCTACCTCACCTCCATATGCTAGAACTGACCAAGAGCCTACCACACCTCCATATGCTAGAACTAACCAAGAGCCTACCACACCTCCATATGCTAGAACTGATCAAGAGCCTGCTACACCACCATATGCTAGAATTGACCAAAAGCCTACCACACCCCCATATGCTAGAAGTAATTAAGAGCCTACAACACCTCCATATGCTAGAACTAACCAGGAGCCTACCTCACCTCCATATGCTAGAACTAACCAGGAGCCTACCTCACCTCCATATGCTAGAACTAACCAGGAGCCTACCTCACCTCCATATGCTAGAACTAACCAGGAGCCTACCTCACCTCCATATGCTAGAACTAACCAGGAGCCTACCTCACCTCCATATGCTAGAACTAACCAGGAGCCTACCTCACCTCCATATGCTAGAAGTAATTATGAGCCTACCACACCTCCATATGCTAGAATTGACCAAAAGCCTACCACACCTCCATATGCTAGAACTGATCAAGAGCCTACCACACCTCCATATGCTAGTTCTAGAAACAGTCTCACTACAGAAAAGGAAGGAAAAAGTTATTTACATATCCCGTACAGGACATTGCAGAACCAACCCTAGAATTTTGGGCTGTGTTTATTGGGCAGTGTTTAAAAGAGACAGTCAAAATGTTTTGGCCTCATTAAAAGACATAACACTCGTTTAAAAACTATACTGAAAGGAAACGTTGGAGGTAAGAGAGGAAGAGGTAGACAACAATACACAATCAAGAGATGGACGAATAACAGTCTGAGAGAGTGAACTACTAAAAGACAAAAAACACTGAGATTGTTGGAGATCCATTGCAGCCAACCTTCATTGTGCAGCTGGTACCTCATTGATTGACTATGTAACTTTTTGTTCAGTAGTTTGCCATTGCCCCTGAACAGTCGGCTGTTGATATCATTGTGGAAATAAAAATCCATTATGCGATTTTCTTCCAAATTGTCTGCACTGGGAGGGCTATACATCTGCTAAAAAATTGTGTTCTAAGGGCAGATGATGTCAGCCTCATGCCAACCCCCACTAGCAGCCTCCTATGGCATGCATGGTTTGTTAACGTGTTATTGTTCTCTGCTTCCTACACAAGCCCTGGTAATATATGGGTTAATTGTTTTAATTGCAGATAAGGGATATTTAAAAATCAAACAGAATTTCTGTGTCCACGGCTGTCAAACTAAGCACACAGCAGTTGAGTGTTGATTTAAGAATGGACATCAAGGGGTAATGATATTTCAATAAGCGCCCCGTCCTCATCTTCAGCAGCCAGTGAAGAGTTTAAATTCCAATTGTACCAGTAGCAGTGTGATTTGATGTCCCTCTTGCTTTTCCTCTTTGGGTAGAGCATTGACCAGATCTCCTGGTCACTCCTAGCTGTACCATTCTTTCCAGACAATAATGATCTGTTAATTCCGTTGTAAAAAGATCTATGATGTGTGAGACATAAATTCACAGATATTATCTGACACTTGTAGAAGTTGAGGAAATAACTAGATGTCAGATATAGGCAATAAAACAATTGATAACTGTAAATACAGTGGAGGGCAAAATATCATGGATTTCTGTCCTGGATATTTAGGTGTGTGAAGTTACAAGCAGGCTGATAGATTAACTGCTGCTGCTCCTCTGTGGGGTGAGCTGCATTATGATAAAGTGAACATGGTGAAGCTCTCTGGGATCAGATGGACAGTGCAGTAGAACAGGCAGAGAATCCGTACATTGAAAGAATAATTCAACAGGGGTGGGTAGAAGTTCCGGATAATATTCAGCCAACACTGAGGGAGACACATGGGCGGACTCTTAATCAGGTTGCAACTGGTTCTGTTAGCAATTTCGTGAAAAGATATACAACCAGATAAAAAGTAGACCAGTGAGCTTTACAATATAACAAACAGAAAATGAGCGTTACAGCTGTAAATCCTTCATCAGCACATTACATAAATCAACAAAACCACGTGTACAGACATGAAGAAAATGGTACTGTTGAACAGTACAGCACAGTACAGATGAGTGATGGGCACAAACAGATAGTAGCAGTTCTGGGATGGCGAAACAAACGAGCTCCACTCTTCATTGGCTACTGAAGAAGAGGACAGAACACATGTGTAGTGATGTAAATTCCTGATTCATTCATTCAGGCATACTTATTGCCAAAAAAAATGTGACACAATTGAAACATTTTGTTAGAGGTCTTCAGTTTTGCTACTTCTGCTCAATAATAGTCATGACAAAAACTAAAACACAGATAAATTACATGGATCATGGAAAAAGAAGAAAACATCTGCAATGAGATCAACTAAGTCAAGTGTTTTATTTTACAAAAACAAAGTTGGAAGGTTTTCCTGTACTTTGTACTCATCTTCAGGTAGACTATGATGTTCACTGAAGCGTGTACGGCAAGCAATGTCTCAGTGACACCCAGCAGAAGGTACTGCATATTTTTATATTTGCCAAACAAGGAGAGTTCTGGTTCTATTGTCTGAGCAAACAGGACTACGCTGTCAGGAACAAAGGCCACCACGAAGATCAGCAGGAGAAATATCACCATTTTGATAATCTTTCTATCACGTATTGACACTGTCACATTCCCCAGAACTTCGATCCGCCAGTTTGTGTTTCTTTTGAGACTGAAAATGAGGATCCATGTACACATGATGACCCAGAAAAACGTGAGAATTGTTAGTCCAGAGGAGATGCCAGTCGACAGAGATTCCATATATAATATCTGATCCGCGTAAATGATGAAAGCTAAAGTTTTGTTTGTAGCCGAACTTACGCGAAACTGGTAGTGACCTGCGACGTACATGGGGAAAGCTGTTACTGTCACGATAACAGTGATAACCAGAAGAATGGCAACAGATCTCCGGGGTGTGATAATTTTATGGACTTTGAAAGGCTGTACAATGCAGATACATCTTTCACATGTGATAAAAGCCAGAATCCAGTTGCTTATTCGTTTAAAGCAGCTGTACGGCCTGCCCAAGATAAGACTTCTGATGTCAGAAGACTCAAAGGCCATGTTTAAATGTTCCATCACAGGACTGTAAAACAAGCTTATGAGAAAGCTGAACACCAGCATGCAGAAATCACAAACAGATAGACTTAGAAGGCTAATATTGACAGTATCCTTCAGGTTCATTTTGGCAAATACAACAATGTTGATTGCATTGGCAACGATTCCACTTAATGATATGATCGAATAAAGGCAGACAAAATTAGCCATGGTAAAAATGTGAAGAACAACCTC